CTTGCAATGCAGCTCGATTAACATTCGACAGCCGTGAACTCCCATCCTCTGTTTATGTAGCAGGACATCGTTTAGAAGTTCGAAAGGTGATCCCTACACTGCAACAGTGTAGAAATTGCTGGCAATTTGGTCACCCAGCAAAATATTGCAGATCTATAGCTGAATGCCCAGTCTGTGGTGCCGATGACCATTCTAATACATCTTGTAGTCGACCTCCCTCTTGCCTTAATTGTCATGAGGTTCATCCTTCTTATTCTCGCCACTGCCAAGTCTACTTAAATGAGCGAAAAATCCATTACCTCAAAAAGGCACAAGGTTTCCCCTATGCTATGGCAGTTTCTCATCTACACCTCCAAGGGAGACTACCCTGTCTTTCTTATTCTCGTGTTTCTAAACATCCCCCCAACTCTGGAGTCCCATCTTTTGCAGCCTCTTCTGTGGTTACCCCTTCCATAGTCACTCCTGTTGCTAATTCTTTCGCTGTCCTGGACTTAGAAGTCCCTACTTCAACACGTCAGTCTGTTCTCACTTCTTCATGTTCTCCCTCACAAGTCCCGGTACCGATAAGACCTCGTACGACACCTCCTCCCAATCACCCCTCTACTTCTCAGAGGTTAAAAAAATTCCCATTGCTCAAATCTCCTTTAACCTCTCCTTCCCTTCTTCCATCTCCACATTTTACCTTTCCAGTCTCTGTACCTGGTTCTTCCCCTCTCACTGGCTCTGTTACAAGTGTGGAGGTTCACCCCCCTCCTCCTCATACTGTGCCTTCCTCCCCTGTCCCCTCTGAAGTTTCTTCCTCTTCTGCTCCCTCCCAGGTTTCTGCCTCTTCTGTCCCCTCCCACACTCTTCTCCAGTTCCCTCCACCCTTTCATCCCCCCTACTTTGGTACAGTCCACTGCTTTCCCAATCTTTACTCACCCTCCTCCTTCCATCTTCAATATTGTCTCGCATGCAACATCATTGAATTCTAACCCCTCCAGTCCGTAGGTACCCTTACCTGTGGATTTCTGGTATCTTTCTCGTTGCCAGTCATGGTTTATTTAGCGGAATATCCGGGGCCTCAGGGGTAATCAGGGTGAGCTTCAGATGTTGCTCTCCCAGTTTTCCCCTGTTGGTGTTTACTTACAAGAACCAAAATTACACTTCGCTGTTATCTATCCCATCTCAGGCTATAATTTATTGTATTCTTTGGATCCTCTTTCTGATGGGACCTTGAATGAAAGTGCCCTTCTTCTACGCACTGATATTCCATACCATCATCTATTTGTTCGTACTTCGCTGCATTACACTGCAGCCCGTATCCACTTGCATAAGTGGTATACAATCTGTTCTTTGTATCTCTCTCCTTCTCGGGCATTATCTATCCTGGATGTTGCCTGCCTTGTTTCGTCCTTACCGCTCATCATTTCCTCTGGGGAAGTCTCACTGTGACTTCCGTGGCATTCAGTTGGAGGCTTTTCTCGCTTCTCACTCCCTCCATGTTTTAAATATGGGTACTCCCACCTATTTTGATCCTCATACTCATACTTTCTCTGGCATTGATCTCTCGGTCTGCTCTTCCTCCAGTGCACTAGACTTCACCTGGTCTGTTCTCCCGGACTTACATGACAGCGATCATTTTCCAATCATTCTTACTTTTCCTTCATATTCACCACCTCTTCGTAGCCCACGCTGGCAATTTCATCAAGCAAATTGGGACCTTTACTCGCAACTAATTGCTTCTAGTGAGGCTCCTTCTTTGTCCTGCACTGATGAGCTTTTACACTTCTTCTCAACCTCAGTTTTAACCACAGCTTCTCATTCTATACCCCAAACCTAGGGCAGGTATTTTCAGAAGTGCATACCTTGGTGGTCTCCTGCTTGTGCTTGGGCAGTACGTTTGAAATGCGCTGCGTGAGGCAGGTACCTGGAGTTTACCTGGAGAGAGTTCCGGGGGTCAACGTCCCCGCGGCCCAGTCTGTGACCAGGCCTCCTGGTGGATCAGAGCCTGATCAACCAGGCTGTTACTGCTGGCTGCACGCAATCCAATGTACGAGCCACAGCCCGGCTGGTCAGGTACCGACTTTAGGTGCTTGTCCAGTGCCAGCTTGAAGACTGCCAGGGGTCTATTGGTAATCCCCCTTATGTATGCTGGGAGGGAGTTGAACAGTCCCAGGCCCCTGACACTTATTGTATTGTCTCTTAACGTGCTAGTGACACCCCTGCTTTTCATTGGGGGGATGTTGCATCGTCTGCCAAGTCTTTTGCTTTCATTGTGAGTGATTTTCACGTGCAAGTTCGGTACTAGTCCCTCTAGGACTTTCCAGGTGTATATAATCATGTATCTCTCCCGCCTGCGTTCCAGGGAATACAGTGGACCCCCGCATAATGATATTAATCCGTTCCTGAGAGCTCATTGTTATGCGAAATTATCGTTATGCCAACGAATTTTTCCCATAAGAAATAATGGATATCAAATTAATCCGAGCAAGACACCCGAAAGTACGAAAAAAAAAATTTTACCACATGAAATATACATTTTCCTACACACAAAGAGAAGGATACATGCACAATAGTAGAGTAGTACATGCACAATATATATTGTGCATGTACTACTCTACTAAATGAAGAATAAATGACACTTACCTTTATTGAAGATGCAGCAATGACTGATGAGACACTGTGTCCTGGGAGTGCCTTTTCCTCCTGAGTACTGTAGGTCCTGTTTGGCATTTTCTTCCAGAACAGGCCTTATCACACTGTGTATGCCACTACGATTCTTAAATCTCTCAAACCAACCTTTGCTGGCTTTAAATTCACCAATATGAGCACTAGTTCCAGGCATTTTTCCCTGTTCACCTGGGTGTTAGTCGACTGGTGTGGGTTGCATCCTGGGAGACAAGATTAAGGACCCCAATGGAAATAAGTTAGACAGTCTTCAGTGACACTGACTTTTTTGGGTTATCCTGGGTGGCTAACCCTCTGGGGTTAATTGTTTCTTGGTATTCTCAATAAGCCACACCAACAACGGTGCTACAGCAGCAGCAGCAGCAGCAGCAGCAGCAGCAGCAGCAGCAGCAGCAGCAGCAGCAGCAGCAGCAGCAGCTGACAGTGCTACAGCAGCAGCAGCTGACAGTGCTACAGCAGCAGCTGACAGTGCTACAGCAGCAGCTGACAGTGCTACAGCAGCAGCAGACGGTACTACAGCAGCAGCAGACGGTACTACAGCAGCAGCAGCAGCAGCTGACGGTGGTACAGCAGCAGCAGCAGCTGACGGTGCTACAGCAGCAGCAGCAGCTGACGGTGCTACAGCAACAGCTGACAGTGCTACAGCAGCAGCAGCAGCAGCTGACAGTGCAGCAGCAGCAGCAGCAGCTGACAGTGCTACAGCAGCAGCAGCAGCAGCTGACAGTGCTACAGCAGCAGCAGCTGACAGTGCTACAGCAGCAGCTGACAGTGCTACAGCAGCAGCAGACGGTGCTACAGCAGCAGCAGACGGTACTACAGCAGCAGCAGCAGCAGCAGCAGCTGACAGTGGTACAGCAGCAGCAGCATCAGCAGTTGACCATGGTACCAAAGTATTTCGATAATATTTCTCACCCTTTTTACCACAGGGTTGGCACTAGAAGCTTTCTTGGGGCCCATGGTCACTTATTTTGCAGATAAAATCACCAAAAACGCTGTAATAATACGAAATGTTCCGATTGTATGCTTGGATGTTACCGCGGAGGCTGGCTTGTAAACAATGCCACCGGCGGAACATGTGAGGCTGGCTCAGGCCTCACATAGACGTGTCTCGGACGAATAGCGTTGAGCGGGTTTTTTAGCGGTATGCGAGGCAAAATCTTAGTGATAAAATGTATCGGTATGCGGATTTAACGTTATGTGATGCCAGCGGTATGCGGGGGTCCACTGTACAGGTTCGGGAACTTCAAGCGCTCCCAGTAATTGAGGTGTTTTATCTCTGTTATGCGCGCCATGAAGGTTCTCTGTACATTTTCTAGGTCAGCAATTTCACCTGCCTTGATACAATAGAACTTTCGTTTTTCCTTTTGGGCCACCCCATCTCAGTGGGATATGGCTGGTGCGTTGAAAGATGCCCGGGTGGGGATGCCCGGGTGTTGTGCATGTGTCTTAATTTCATCTTATCGGTATTATACACAATTCTTGTACTACTACTACTACTACTACTACTACCTCCACCTCTTCCTGCCTATATATAGCCGTCCTGCTCCACCTCTGTTAGTGTAACTTTGTCAATGGTCCAAGTTGGACCGAAACGTCGTCGTAAGCTTCTCTCTTTTATGTGCGGGTTATTTGTGTAATAATAATAATAATAATAATAATAATAATAAAGCTATATATTTTTATCCCAGTTCTTGAATCCTTATTGTGTAGAGTTATAAAGTCAACTGACTCAATAAAGCCCAATATAGGGCAAAACATTGACACAATAAAAGCTTGGTCTACACCTGTGTCTTATCCTCAATCATGTCAGTAAAATACCTTAGTATTTATGCATACCTCACACAAGTATATTTGCAGAAGGATCCCATAGCAAGGATTAAAAGAGAATTTTAGTTTTTGTTTTCTAAATTTGTTTTCTTTGTCATACTCCAAAAATTAGTAGATTTTTTTTAATACAATGGCCATCTCCTGCCAGGCAGGATGACCCAAAAAAGAAAAGACATTCACCAATATTCACTCTCAATTTCTTTACAATGATTATTAAAAGAAACTGAAAAAAATCATCTAAAAATCGATACAGTATCATTATATAACATAATTGACTCAAATTTTTTCCCTCTGTATCAATGCACAAACATTACATCTGCTTTACTTTCAAATATAATCCAATTTTCATATGAAGAATATGGTTAATTTATGGAAATATAAAATTAGCTTGGCCCATGGCTGGGCTCCAGAAGTAGAAACACTCTTGGAACTCATCAAAGGTATAGCAAAGGTATTACAGAAAAAACTTGCAACAAAGATCTTTATGTCATTCATCTGCTCACCCACTGATCCAGCACCAGTGTAGGCTATAAGACAGCGTCCCGTTGAGAGCTCCCATAACTTCACAACACTGTCCAAGCCCGAAGAGAGGATGTACTAAAAAAAAAAAAAACTAGTTATTAAAACAAAGCAACAGCATGTATCTTAGGTGCTCATCATATAACTCATTTAAAATTTAATATCCTATGTACATTTCAAAAAAAAACTTTTAGTAAATATAGCATTTCATTTTAAAATGGTTTAATTTTTTTTTAATTATTATACAGTGACAGGCTATAGGTACTCACTACACCAACATAGATTACTATATTAACACAGTATTCAGAAAAGTGGACAAGCAGTATGGTCTTGACTATAGACAATTATACCTCAATGTTTTTTCAAACCAAATTAGTCCTTTTCCATCAAGGCAGAGGAAAAATATTTGTTGATTTTTATTCTTAAGCTGTTTTTTAGAAGTACACAGACACCATACATCAAAAGATCCATCAAAATGCATCATTCCTCCCTGTACTTCAGAGAACAGATACTGTATTTCTCACCTCCAGAACTCAAGGTTGCTCCAAATATTTTCATGGTTGATACCTTGCTAACACTCCAACATATCAAATCCAAAAAAAGCAACACTTGTATGCCCCTTAAAGAAATGGAGACAATCAAAAGAACACAGCTAGTAGATTACCTAGATTAGTGGTCAACAGCTTGTGACCTGTAGGCAACTCCTAGATTTTGGGTTGTGGCCATGTATCACTTTTTTTTTTTTTTACCTATTTCAACATTATCACTTTAAATAGCACATCACAAGATGTGAAGTTTATATATGGAATTGTCAGATTAGAGAGTGTAGACAAAAGTGAGCATATCAGAGCACTGGATAAAGCTATTCTCTTTGAAACAATGTGATTCAATGATGCAACATGCACCAATAGCACACCTTAAGCGACTTTCAAGATGCAGCCTTTTTTTTATTGTAAGTCTTCAGGATTTTCCTTAGCCCAGTAATATCATAAACAACTTTATTTTTCATTAATATCATTAACCCTTTCAGGGTCCAGAAGCCAAATCCCAGAGTGACAGCCAGAGTCCAAGAATTTTTGAAAAAAAAAAAAAAAAAAAAAAAAAATTCTTATGAAATGGTAGAGAATCTTTTTCTGAAGGTAATAAAGCAAAAAGTACGAAATTTTATGGAAAACTGATGAAATTACGCTCTCGCGAATTTTGATGCGTCAGTAATATTTACGCATTGGCAATTTTGCTGACTTTGACTCCCATTTTAGGCTAATTACATTATTCCAGTCGACCAAATTCTTAGCTATTTTGCTAGTATTACATCCATTTTATCGATTGAGCACAAGAAATCACCCAGTCAACTGTTTCAATTATGTACCCAATAAAGTGATCGGAAATTGGTAATTGGGCCAATTTGACACAAAGTTCAAAACATTCCAATTTCAAAATAGGATCCAGAATAAACAATGCAGGCATTCCTGGCACTAAACTAACATTTCATCTGTTCATTAGTTACGTTTTCAGGCTTTACAAATGAATTCCATTTTTATTTTTTATTCACATAATTAATTTCTATTCACATCAAAAAATAGATTTACTGTTACGTAATGTTGTAATAATTGTATAAATAATATCAGCACATTCGTTAACGTATATCAGACCCACCAGCTAATGTGTATTAGACTCGTAACTACATTTGTTTACTCTTGAACATCGGCAAGAAATGAACATTTCTGCTACTTTGAGCTCAGTTTCAAGCCATTTTCAGTAAAAAAACCAATCAAAATCATCTCTATTTCTGTAAAGAATCTTTCATTCTATCAAATGAGACCAAGAAATTGCAAATACAACTGTAAAAAACATACAAAAAAAAAAAAAAAAAGCCGTTTTAATCCAAAATTATGGTCGCAGTTTTTTTCTCTCGTTATGCACAGCGTGCTGCAGGTTTTGCTTTATGTGGTGCACACTTACCACACAGAGGTATTCTCTCATATCTAGGCCCAAATTTACTGCTCACAGGTTGTCTGAGTGAGCTGAGCTCATGGCGTAGATCTATTGTTTGGACAATAGATCTACGCCATAGATCTATGGGATGGACCCTGAAAGGGTTGACAAGCAATTCATGAAACCAATAACAAAAATTTGACAATTTTTAAGAACATATTCAATATTCTGGCAATTTTTAATGTAAGCAGATGAAGAGTTCAGTGGTTTATGTATTAACACAAAATGTGCTAACACTAGTTTCTGTTGAAAGGTGATACATTGACTGCTTAGGAATTTGTTCAATTTCTGCAACTACAGTGACAATAATTATTTGTTCTTGCTATTGGAGGTCTTAGTTTCTTGCACCTCATCCACTTCTGCTGTCTTCTGCTGGTGTGACTCACGAAATCGTAATGAGACTCTCTGACCGCGGGTTCAATCCCGGCCGGGGTATGGTTTTTTTTCTGCTGGTGTACAAGTACTGATGCAAACTGTGGTATCTCATTGACAAACACCACTTCAAAAACACTGTACAAAGCCAATAGAGAAAATTTTATCTTATAATACACCTATAAAGCAAAAATTTAGCTAACAAGTAGTTTTGTTTGAAATTGGTAAGAGGTTACACAGTTCTATTATATAAACCAAAATACTGCTGACCTAACTAAGTCTGAGATGCATTTTTTTTTTTTAACACATCAGTCACCTCTAACAGAGGCAGGGTGGCCCAAAAGAAGAAACACTTTCACCATCACTCAGTACTTCCACCATCATTCACATATAATCACTGTCTTTGAAGAGGCATGCAAATATGACAGGTCAGATGTCATTCCAAACAGTAAATATCCCAAACCCCTCCTTTAAAGGGCAGGCATTGTACTTCCCACCTCAGGGACTCAAGTCCAGCATGTATATGCATATAAATAAGAGAATTAATCTCTGAAAATGTTAAATATTACTCTCTCTTTATCCACAGGTAATCAGAGATTACTGATGAATGGCTTACCTGTGCTAATAAGAGTGTGGCAACAAAATATGCAGAACTATATAAAGTACTGTATTGACTTACCTTTCCATTACGAGAGAAGAGAACAGAGCAGACCTCAGCACCATCATGACATTTAGGAAATGTCTGAACACAGCGTCCTGACACTCCATCCCATACCTGTTAGAACACATGCTATTAAACCTACATATGAAGCTGAAACATTAAAGTCATCTGATATGCACAGAAATACTGTACTGTATTCCAGCCACCTGTAATTTTTAATATTTTACCCCACTGAAAACATATTTACCATTACAGGCTCTCTAAACTTTGCAGAGGGGCAAAGACATCACAGGTCAATGACGACGTTGAACTGCAATATCCCCATACCACTTTTAAAATGCAGGCATTGTACTTCCCACTTCTGATAAGCTTAACACTCCAATATATCAAATTCCAAAGGCCACTTACCTCCACTCACTAGAATCTAGCATACTATTATTACCTCTGAATAAATTTAAGACTTGATTATCCAACCTGATAAGAAAGCAGGATGGACTGGTGGGCAGAAACGATAAATTCAGCGGATATATAAGATTAGATAAATGTACAAGTTGAAATAGTTAGGTTTGAGCTGGACCTGCAGTGCTCTTCTATCCTTATGCTAATAGTTTTTTAATGAAAGGCTGAATGCTTGAGTGGAGGAAGGGGGCACACATGAGGTAAATGTATATACAGCTTCTCCTTACTTAGTGACGTACTTGTTTTCCGATGACTTGGACTTATGACGGGCTCTCTGACCAGTATGCATACCTAAATAATGTATATCAGAGCTGATTTCATCTATTCTGTTTATTACAATATACAGTACACTACTGTATAAACATTTAAAAATATACTACTATTTTTTTTATTATTAACACATCGGCCGATTCCCACCAAGGCAGGGTGGCCCGAAAAAGAAAAACTTTCATCATCATTCACTCCATCACTGTCTTGCCAGAGCTTTACACTACAGTTATAAAACTGCAGTATTAACACCCCTCCTTCAGAGTGTAGACACTGTACTTTCCATCTCCAGGACTCATCTGGCCTGCCAGTTTCCTTGAATCCCTTCATAAATGTTACTTTGCTTACACTCCAACAGCACGTCAAGTATTAAAAACCATTTGTCTCCATTCACTCCTATCAAATACACTCGTGCAGGCCTGCTGGAAGTCCAAGCCCCTCGCACACAAAACCTCCTTAACCCCCTCCCTCCAACCCTTCCTAGGCCAACCCCTACCCTGTCTTCTCTCCACTACAGATTTATACACTCTCGAAGTCATTCTGTTTTGTTCCATTCTCTCTACATGTCCGAACCACCTCAACAACTCCTCAGCCCTCTGGATAATAGTTTTGGTAATCCCACACCTTCTCCTAATTTCCGAACTACGAATTCTCTGCATTATATTCACACCACACATTGCCCTCAGACATGACATCTCCACTGCCTCCAGCCTTTTCCTCGTTGCAACATTCATCACCCATGCTTCACACCCATACAAGAGTGTTGGTACAACTATACTCTCATACATTTTCCTTTTTGCTTCCATGGACAAAGTTCTTTGTCATCACGGACTCCTAAGTGCACCATTCACCCTCTTTCCCTCATCAATTCTGTGATTCATTTCATCCTTCATAGACCCATCTGCTGACACGTCCACTCCTAAATATCTGAATACATTCACCTCCTCCATACTCTCTCCCTCCAATCTGATATCCAGTCTTACATCACCTAGTCTTTTTGTTATCCTCATAACCTTACTCTTTCCTATATTCACTTTTAATTTTCTTCTTTTACATACCCTACCAAATTCATCCACCAACCTCTGCAACTTCTCTTTAGAATCTCCCAAAAGCACCGTGTCATCAGCAAAAAGCAACTGTGACAACCCCTGCTTTGTGTTCGATTCTTTATCTTCTAACTCCACACCTCTTGCCAAGACCCTAGCATTCACTTCTCTTACAACCCCATCTATAAATATATTGAACAACCAAGGTGACATCACACATCCTTGTCTAAGGCCTACTTTTACTGGGAAATAATCTCCCTCTCTTCTACATACTCTAACCTGAGCCTCACTATCCTCGTAAAAACTCTCCACTGCTTTCAGTAACCTACCTACTATACCATACACCTGCAACATCTGCCACATTGCCCCCATATCCACCCTGTCATATTCCTTTTCTAAATCCATAAATGCCCTTATCTAAATACTGTTCACCTATATGTTTCACTGTAAACACTTGGTCTACACACCCCCTACCTTTCCTAAAGCCTCCTTGTTCATCTGCTATCCTACTCTCTGTCTTACTCTTAATTCTTTCAATAATAACTCTACCGTACACTTTACCAGGTATACTCAAGACTTATTCCCTTACAATTTTTGCACTCTCCTTTATCCCCTTTGCATTTATACAAAGGAACTATGCATGCTCTCTGCCAATCTCTAGGTACCTTACCCTCTTCCATACATTTATTAAATAATAGCACCAACCACTCCAAAACTATATCCCCTCCTGCTTTACACATTTCTATCTTTATCCCATCAATCCCAACTGCCTTACCCCTTTTCATTCTACCCCCACACTCACAACTGGCTCTTCCTCACTCCAACAAGATGTTATTCCTCCTTGCCCTATACACGAAATCACAGCTTCCCTATCTTCATCAACATTTAACAGTTCCTCAAAATATTCCCTCCATCTTCCCGATACCTCTAACTCTTCATTTAATAATTCTCCTCTCCTATTTTTAACTGTCAAATCTATTTGTTCCCTAGGCTTCCTCAACTTATTAATCTCACTCCAAAACTTTTTCTTATTTTCAACAAAATTTGTTGATAACATCTCACCCACTTTCTCATTTGCTCTCTTTTTACATTGCTTCACTACTCTCTCAACCTCTCTTTTTCTCTCCATATACTCTTACCTCCTTGTATCCCTTCTACTTTGTAAAAACCCCTCATATGCTAACTTTTTCTCCCTTACTAATCTCTTTACATCATCATTCCACCAATCACTCTTCTTCCCTCCCGCACCCACTTTCCTGTAACCACAAACTTCTGCTGAACACTCTAACACTACATTCTTAAACCTACCCCATACATCTTTGACCCCATTGCCTATGCTCTCATTAGCCCATCTATCCTCCAATAGTTGTTTATATCTTACCCTAACTGCCTCCTCTTTTAGTTTATACACCTTCACCTCTCTCTTACTTGCTGCTTCTATTCTCCTTGTATCCCATCTACCTTTTACTCCCACTGTAGCTACAACTAGAAAGTGATCTGATATATCTGTGGCCCCTCTATAAACATGTACATCCTGAAGTCTACTCAACAGTCTTTTATCTACCAATACATAATCGAACAAACTACTGTCGTTATGCCCTACATCATATCTTGTATATTTATTTATCCTCTTTTTCTTAAAATAAGTATTACTTATTACTAAACCCCTTTCTATACAAAGTTCAATCAAAGGGCTCCCATTATCATTTACACCTGGCACCCCAAACTTACCTACCACACCCTCTCTAAATGTTTCTCCTACTTTAGCATTTAGGTCCCCTACCACAATTACTCTCTCACTTCATTCAAAGATTCCTATACATTCGCTTAACATCTCCCAAAATCTCTTTCCCTCTCCTCTACACTCCTCTCTTCTCCAGGTGCATACACATTTATTGTGACCCACTTTTCACATCTGACCCTTATTTTAATCCACATAATCTTTTAATTTACACATTTATATTCCCTCTTCTCCTTCCATAACTGGTCCTTCAACATTATTGCTACCCATTCCTTAGCTCTAACTCTCTCAGCTACTCCTGACTTAATCCCATTTATTTCTCTCCACTGAAACTCGCCTACCCTCTTCAGCTTTGTTTCGCTTAGGGCCAGGACATCCAACTCCTTTTCATTCATAACATCATCTCTTTCTTATCATCCACACTACATCCACGCACATTCAAGCATCCCAGTTTTATAAAGTTTTTCTTCTTTTGATTTTCAGTAAATGTGTACAGGAGAAGGGGTTACTAACCCATTGCTCCCGGCATTTTAGTCGCCTCATACGACGCGCATGGCTTACAGAGGAAAGATTCTTTTCCACTTCCCCATGGACAATAGAGAGAGAGAAAAAAAAACAAGAACAAGAACTATTAAGAAAAGAAAAACCCTAGATGTGTGTATGTATATATATACACACGCATGTGCTTGCCTGTGTAGTGTGACCTAAGTGTAAGTAGAAGTAGCAAGATGTACCTGTTATCCCACGTGTTTATGAGACAGAAAAGAGACACCAGCAATCATACCATCATGTAAAACAGTTACAAGTTTCTGTTTCACAGTTACCTGGCAGAATGGTAGTACCTCCCTGGGTGGCTGCTGTCTACCAACCTACTACCTATAAAAATATACTAAACATGTTATAAATGGTGCAAAGGCGACATTAAAGCAATATCAAAGATGGTTGACATAAACCCACTACCATTATAGTATGCTCCTCATTTAACGACGAATTCGTTTACTGACACTGTATTAGGAACAGAACTCTGTCGTTAAATGAGGAGAGGCTGTATACAGCCTCTCCTCATTGGAGTTTTGGAGGTGGAAGTGATGCCTGCATTCTGAATGCCATCTGAAATGTAATGTCCATGCTCTGTTAGCAAGAGTGATGATGAATGAATATGGTAAAAAAAAAGCTTACCTTAATATCTCCATCTTTGGAAGCTGAGGTACAGACTCTAGCATCAGCAGAATAGCGCACAGCTGTCAGTGGTCCAGTGTGGTGCTCACGAGGGTAAGGGCATACATAGCACTGGCCAGAGTTGATGTCATAAAACCTCACTACAACCCCTTCAGTTGCCACAGCCAGAAAGTCTCCACTGGGATGGATTGACATACTGGTGACCTGTTCAGCATCCTAAGAGTACATCAGTATTAAATACTGATTTCATAACATTTTAACTATGCTAAATAAAACTATAAATTAGAATTACAGAATACTGATCCACCAAGAACAAAGGAGGAAGTTCCCCATCACAGAGTAATTACATATACAGGCAGACCCTGCTTTACAGTACAGTGGTCCCTCAATAATCGTCCGGCCTGAAAGTCGTCCATTTCGGAAATAGTCCTGTTTTTTCGTCAAAATATTGGCTCGGAAATGGTCCGGTAACTCGCTAATAGTCCTTCGTCCCAGACGCGTATACACGGTCTGAGCGGCCTCGAGCCGCCTCAGCCTTTCCTTCCCAGCCAGTGTGCCATTGTTTACCAGTGAGCAATGGTCCCCTCACGTGCTCCAGTGAAATATTTCATAATATTTCATTTATTTTAGTGCTTGCAAGTTATTTAAGTGCTAAATAAGCTACCATGGCTCCAAAGAAAGCTCATAGTGCCAAGCCTTTGGTAAAGAAGGTGAGAAATACGATTGAATTTAAGAAAAACATCATTGAACAATATGATAGTGGCGTACGTGTGGGCGAACTGGTCAGGATGTATAACAAATCCCGTACAACCATATCTTCAATCATAGCCAAGAAAAAGGAAATCAAGGATGCTGTTGTTGCAAAGGGGGTAAATATGCTGACAAAAATGAGTTAACCAGTACTCGAAGATGTTGAGAAGTTATTATTGGTATGGATAAATGAGAAACAATTAACAGGAGACAGTCTTATGACGTCGCTTATTTGTGAAAAGGCTGGGCAGTTGCATGACGATTTGGTAAAGAAATTGCCTGCAATTAGTGATGATGTGAGTGAATTTAAGGCTAGCAAAGGCTGGTTTGAGAGATTTAAGAAGCGTACTGGCATACACAGTGTGGTAAGGCATGGTGAGGCTGCCAGTTCGGACCACAAGGCGGCTGAAAAATATGTGCATGAATTCCAGGAGTACATAAACAGTGAAGGACTGAAACCTGAACAAGTGTTCAATTGTGACGAAACAGGCCTCTTTTGGAAGAAAATGCCAAAGAGGACCTTCATTACACAAGAGGAAAAGGCAATGCCAGGACACAAGCCTATGAAAGACAGGCTGACGCTAATGTTCTGTGCTAATGCTAGTGGGGATTTCAAAGTGAAGCCGTTACTAGTGTACCATTCTGAAAATCCCAGAGTGTTCAGGAAAAACAATGTTATGAAGAGTAAATTGTGTGTGTTTTGGAAATCTAATAGTAAGGCATGGGTCACGAGGGAAATTTTTGTAGAGTGGTTCAACGAAGTGTTTGGCCCTAGTGTGAAGAATTAACTCCTGGAAAAGAAATTGGATCTCAAGTGCCTCCTAGTAATGGACAATGCACTTGCTCATCCTCCAAACTTGGATGACCTAATTCTGAAGGAGTTTGGGTTCATCACAGTAAAGTTCTTGGCCCCGAATACCTCTCCTCTCCTCCAACCCATGGACCAGCAGGTCATTGCAAACTTTAAAAAACTCTACACCAAAGCAATGTTTGAAAGGTGCTTGAATGTGACCTCAGACACTCACTTGACCCTACGAGATTTTTGGAAAGAACGTTTCAGTATTCTCCATTGTGTAAGCCTTATAGGTAAGGCTTGGGAGGGAGTGACTACCAGGACTTTGAACTCTGCTTGGAGAAAATTGTGGCCAGATTGTGTCCACAAGAGGGATTTTGAAGGGTTTGGGGCTGACCCTGATGAGCCTATGTCAGTTGTTAAATCCATTGTGGCACTGGGGGCTTCCATGGGGTTGGATGTGAGTTTGGAGGATGTGGAAGAGTTGGTGGAGGACCACAGCAAAGAGCTAACCACTGAGGAGCTGCAAGAGCTTCAGCAGGAACAGCAACAGATGGCAGCTCTGAATCTTGCTGCAGAGGAGGAGGAAGAGAGATGGAGGAAGGTGCCTTCTTCAGAAATTAAGGAGATTTTTTGAAATGTGGGGTAGGATGGAAAGATTTATGGAGAAACATCACCCAGAGAAGGATGTTGCAAGCCATATTGGCAACTTGTACAGTGACAGAGTCTTGGCCCATTTTAGGGAAGTTTTAAAGAGACGCCAGAAACAGAGCTCTATGGACAGTTTTTTTGCGAGACATAACTCCAGTGACTCTCAAGGTGGTCCTAGTGGCATTAAGAAACAGAGAAGAGAAGTAACCCCAGAAAAGCAATTGGTACCCAAGGTGTTGATGGAAGGGGATTCCCCTTCCAAACAGTAATTCATCCAATCAGTCTCCTTCTCCAGTCTTCCATACACAAAGAAGAATCACCGATAAAGGTAAGTGTTATTCTGTTAATGTTTAATTCATCATGTGCCACTGTATTGTTTATGTACTACATCTACATTTCATGTAAAAAAATTTTTTGTTTTAATACTTCTGGGTGTCAGGAGCGGATTAATTGAATTTACATTATTTCTTATGGGGAAAATTGATTCGTAAATTGTCCATTTCGATAATAGTCCCACTTCCAGGAACGGATTAAGGACGATTATTGAGGGACCACTGTACTTCACTTTACAGCATTTCGCTAATACAGTGGTTTTCAATTATACCCATTCTTCATTTATTCTGACTACCTACAATAAATATATTCACCACTCACTATAAGCTTAGGACAAAAATATTTTACGGTAAATAATGTGTACACTACAGATGCATTATTTAGGCCTAGCTCTATTGCTCACTTAATATATGATAGTATAAACATGTTATGAGGCTTTTATATGCATTTGAAAGTGGCCTGGTGGCTAAAGCTCCTGCTTCACACACGGAGGGCCTGGGTTCGATTCCCGGCAGGTGGAAACATTTCGACGTGTTTCCTTACACCTGTTGTCCTGTTCACCTAGCAGCAAGTAGGTACCTGGGTGTTAGTCGACTGGTGTGGGTCGCATCCTGGGGGACAAGATTAAGGACCCCAATGGAAATAAGTTAGACAGTCCTCAATGACGCACTGACTTTCTTGGGTTATCCTGGGTGGCTAATCCTCCGGAGTTAAAAAATCCGAAGAAATCTTATCTTTCTAAAAAAGCTGACTGACTTTACAGCAATTTTTGCCTTACAGTAGTAGCCTGGAACCTAACCTGTTGTATAAGCAAGATCTGCTGCAATAACTGAATATACCAGTAGCTGAAACTTACTGTCAAAGTTTTGAATGCTTTCTTTGCAGACGTTTTGCTAAAATCAAACATCTTGACATTCGTATCTCTACTTCCAGAGATAAGAACTTGTTCTCTTGGGTGGAATTCAAGACAGGTGATTTCATCCAAATGATCATAGAGAGTACGGATAACCGGGTGACCTACAACAGCATCTGGATGTAGCTCTACAGCATCTGGGTCGCTCTTAGCCAGCATGCGATCCACATCTAGAATCTGTTTAAGTTGAAATTAGAGTATGTGATATATCTTATGATAAATTTCTAAACACATAGTAAAAGGCACATTAGGTAGATACTTAATTTGAAGACATCAGCCCTTCAACAGACAGACAAATGTTATATGAGACATAACAAATGCAAAACTTGTTTATTGCTTATTTCTCGCTAAAAGAAAATCCAAAACAATATAACCCTTTTTTCCTTGAATTATAAGGAATAATGCAAGCAAGGATATAAAATTCATGAAAAAATGAGAACTACAATGTGTATGCAGAAGGTATATAAAAAAAAAGCCATACAGTGGAACCTCTGTTTTAATCTTTAATTTGTTCCAGAGAGTCTGACAAAAACCGAATTCGACGAAAACTGAAGCCACATTTCCCATAAGAAATAATGTAAATCCAATTAATTTGTTGCAAACACCCAAAAATATTAACAATAAATACATTATATAGAGAATAACTATAGCTTTACATACAGAAAACAATGAGAAATAAATATAAAGCACTAATGAAATGGATAAATGAACATTTAAAACGCTTCTACCTTTACTGATGACTCTTGTTGGCATATGGAAGACAGCGAGGAGGGGAGAGGGAGGAGAGGTTATCTCTACCACCATCAATACCACCATCTACCACTATCACTACCACCCTCTACCACCATCACAACCACTACCACCATCACTACCACCCTCTACCACCATTGCTACCACCTTCTACCACCATCACTACCACCCTCTACAACCACTGAATTCTATCATGTTTCTTGCCTTCTTTATCAAAGAGCTGGCACTCAGAACTTTCTTTGACCCCATTGTGGCTTATTTAGCAGTCGCACTCAATAAACAAGCACAAAAAAATGGATTATTACAAAATGTTTCGTATGAATGCGACGAGAAACAAAGCCAGACTGACTCAGAATGCATGTGTGGGATGCTTTGTGTGGGCACGGGCAGACGGAAACGTTCAGTACAGCGGACGAAATCCAAGGTGATAAACGAAAACTGGGACAATATTTTGATGAAAAAAGTTGTGAAAAACTGAGTTTGATGAAAACCAGGGCAAACGAAAACTGAGGTTCCACTGTACATATTAAAATTAAAAAATATCAACATAATGCAAAGTAAACTCTTCAAAATTCACGTCTACCTTGATAGAGGCATCAACACTTCCTGTTGCCACGAGGTTACCATCTAGAGAGAAAGCTGCAGCTCGACACTTATCCTTGTGTGATGTGACATAAGCTGTTTCATACATTGCTGGCTCTGGAGCACTCGTTTGAGGTTCTGTCTCATACTCCAGGTCAAGGCCAGGCCCAAGAGTGTACTCCAAACGATTTAGAGGCCTTTCCATCTCTAGAAATCACTGGCAATTAATTAGAGGAAAGATATATACAATTTACAGAAATAGCTATGCTCTTATTAATACTACAAGAGAGTAATTGTGGTAGGGGACCTAAATGCTAAAGTAGGAGAAACATTTAAAGAGGGTGTGGTAGGTAAGCTTGGGGTGCCAGGTGTAAATGATAATGGGGGTTTGGTTATAGGTAATACATATTTTAAGAAAAAGAGGATCAATAAGTATACAAGATATGACGTAAGGCATAAGGACAGTAGCTTGTAGGACTATGTATTGGTAGATAAAACTGTTGGGGAGACCTCAAGATGTACATGTTTATAAAGAGGCCACAGATATATCAGATCACCTTTAAGTTGTGGCTACTTGGAGTCTACCTGAAGGGCATTCCGGGGACCAATGCCCCCACAACCCGGTCCACGACCAGGCCTCCCGGTGGATCAGGGCCTGATCAACAAGGCTGTTACCGCTGGCCGCATGCAATCCAGCGTACAAACCACAGCCCGGTTGACCTGGCACCATCTTTAGGTATCTGTCCAGCTCCCTCTTGAAGATGACCAGGGGTCTACCAGTAATTCCCCTTATTGCTGGTGGGAGGCTGTTGAACAGTCTTGGGCCCCACACACTTATTGCATTTTCTCTTAGTGTACCAGTGACGCCCCTACTTTTCACTAGGGGTATGTTGCATCGCCTACCAAGTCTTTTGACTCATTCCACATGAATCTTTAAACATATAAATACTAACTGGAGCACTTAACCCCTTACACAATTGAGAATTAATTTAACAAACATTTCATTACATAGTACTATGGTAATTTCCTCAAATCTGTCAGGCCCACCTGATATTACTGAACACTGAAGCAAATATTCTTTTAAGCATCTACTCCTGCCACAATTTGATTATTCTCGTTATATTATTTTACTCAGTTAAACTATGACTACCAATGGAAATAAGTCACTCTGTCTGACTTTTTCGGGTTATCCTAAGTTCTCTACACATATGCTGCTATGTATGATAATCTATGTAACTGTATTAGTGTATACCTGAATAGACTTACTTACTAAGTCACAAACAACTTTTCAAATCACCACCCAGGCTTTCTGAGTACACAGGCAGTTCATCTAAAGAAAACTAATTCCTAAAACTAACACCTAATCAATTCATCTGAAATGCTTGTACTACATAAAATACACCTACCATCCGACTTACGACCGAGTTCGGTTCCGAGAAACCGGTCGTAACTCGAAATGGTCGTAAGTCGAACTTTACTATTGAATATCAACAAAACATTTTTGTAATGACTTTATTTTATTGTTTTATTTTGGTATTTCATGTTTTACTTTACTTTTTATGTTGTTAGTACTGTATTTTATACTGTAAGGTTTAGGATAAACACTGTGTACAACACAAATAGTTGTTTATTTCCCAGAAATTTGGCATAAAATACACGGTCGTAAGTCGAGTGGTCGTAAGTCGAGCAGGTCGTAAGTCGGATGGTAGGTGTAGTCATAAATAAACTCATCCAGCACTACAGTTTTAAAAATTAATAATTATAGTATAATTACCTCTGCACAGTCTACCTATTTAACTCAAAATTATGTAACAATAAAATACACTTGTACAATTTGTAAAACAAAATGTTACTTAGGAACAAATATTTTTAGCAATATATACTATTAAGATGTCAAAAATAAACAAAATCCAGAAAGAGGAACAAGCATACTACCTACTTCATTTGTGAAATTAACAACCAATTTAGGAATACAAAAAGACATACGTAAGAGAAAACAATTATATATTAAAAGTCAAACCAAAATAAGTGATTGAATACCATGTTCATGCTGTAGGCCAATGTTTAATACATTCATGAGGCGATCCGAGGGGGCAACTGCACTGGCTTCTTGTTCCACCACAGCAGCCAATTCTTGAGCAAATGTCTGGTGCCCATCATAAAACAACTGACTACAAGAAAAAATGAATTATAATTATATTTACCTAAATTTACAAAAGGTGGTGTGATAAAGAGACATTCAGTACAGCTTAATGCAGCACATTGTATGTAGTGCCCTAAAAGCATGGGATTTATGCCACCATGGAACAAAGTAAAGTGTTTCGAGAGACTTTTTGTCTATGTCAGGCCAATCACAAGACTTCTAGGAGTGACATTATCTATGACATGGCTGCTTTCTGTTGCATCTCATTGGTTGGGATAGCCAGATGTAAACACTTTCACCTGAGTGCTTGTCAAAGACAGATTTCTTACAAAAGTTCCCATATCTTGCTCCAAAATATCAGTAAGTTTCTGAATTTGTTTCCAGTGCTTAGTTGAATGTATGAACATAGTTCTGATGAGCAAATAAACCGCATATGACATGGTAACAAAGGTGAGTAAGTGGAAATATGATATACAAAGAAGGCACCATAAATGATTCTTTTTGTGGGCACTAACTTGCATTACAAAACATATTTTAACACTGCAAATGTGCACTCTTGTTCATTTATCATGGCCATGTTGTGATTAAGGATTAAGAGATCAGAGGAAAAGGGACTATATTCTGTGAAAGTGACCGTGTTACTGCAGTTGAGGGGAACAGTGATAAATGTATTCCTGATAAAATGTCTAACACAACACTACCTTACTGGCCATTCATGCAAAAAGGATGACATGTACTTTCTGCATTAACAACTGTAACAGATTCAAGTCAACTATTGCTTGTTCACTGCGTAACACGAAACTGCATGAACGGTTATTCGTGCAGTTTCGTGGAATTAAATGGTATATTATTTTTGTGATGTAAGAACATTTTATAAGTCCTTATAATTTTTTCATGACAAATATCCATTTTCAAATTTTTTTATAATTTTTTAACAAGTTCAAGTGCTATGGCAACAAGTTCCTATTGTTTTATGAATACAGTCTTAATAAATAATAAATAAACATGTAAGTCTTTTATTAACATTTTGAACTTTTTTTTTGGGGGGGGGAGGGGGAAATTACCATTATTAGGCAGGGTACATTTTCAATGCCTTCAGTTTTTTAATTTTACTGTTCCAAAATTTTAAACCCTTAAACTGTTCAATCGTAGATCTACGTTCGCTCACTGTAGCTCTCCAAACGTATATCTACTTTTTTTTTTTACATGCTTTCAAATGGAGAAAATCAAGGTCGGAGCACTGCGCGCGGTAAACGTAGATCTACGTTTGGACAGTTAAACCCTCTATCCAAACGCAGATGTACGTTCGTTCGTGAAGCGCTCCAAACGTAGATCTACGTTTTTTTTAACATTCTTTCTTAGGGAGAAAATCAAGGCCAGTGTGCTACGCGCACAAACGTAGATGTACGTTTGGACAGTTTAAGGGTTAAAGGTTAAGTTTTGATAAAAAAAAGCCCAACTTGAAGTCTATAAGAGCAAAGTTTAAGTTTCTCATTGATTTTGGTGCTTTCTCAATAAAGTTTTAATTGTAGAGAGAGGTACTACTCTATCAAATAAATGTGGAATGAAACTAATAAATTTTTTGCACTCAGGCAGGATTGCTTATCTTTTCTTTCTCTCATGAAAATAGCAAGATGACAGATATATCTTACATACTTTTACTTACATTCAGTATACATATATCTTTAGTTTTCTGCCTATGTATTTCTTTATAGTTCTAGATTAGTAATATTTTCTTTCCAATCTAGGAGGCCTGGTCTAAGACCAGGCCTCCTAGACTAGAAATGAGGGAGGCTTGGTCGGGAGGATAATCCCCAGAATCACTAATAAATAGCAGGTAACACATTCGTTTTTGCAGTTTCTTTACACAACTGAAGAACAGTATGGAAAACGAAACTCTTACATCATTGGCCCTTCAAATTTTACCACAACTTAATTTTTTTATTATACCTGTCAATACTTTTTCTTTGCTGAACTCCTATTTTCAAACACTTTCATACCTGTATAGTTAATTGTATTAGTTAGTTTTATTATTAAAATCTGCCCAAAACATTGCATGTCTCATGTTTTTCATTTTTTTCTACCTTTCAGCACTTTTGAAAATTACATACATACTCCATACTATTTTTATATTCATGAGGATGGGCTTAACTCAGAGGGGTCGTCCAGCACCTGGTAAATTAGAGGTAATCAGCTTTAATCCAAAGAAGAGAAGAGTAGCTCTGGTTTCTGGAAGGACCTCTAATAAGTACGTTTTCATTTAAGCTTTCCATATAAAATATATACTGGTCTCCAGGGCACATGTGTAATCAGCACATAAAAAGAAACAGTATGTACTGAACACTTAACCAAGGTCCTAGTATAACCCAATGGTCAATTATTATTGTCATACTTGGATCAAGAGCTCCTTACTAGCATTAAGATATCTTCTTGAAGGAAGGTAGTCCATACCTTTAAGGCGATAAACCATAAATTGAAAAGATCTCCAGTTTTTATTATTATTACAATAACTAAGCGCTAAACCCGCTAGGGTCATACAATATTATTAAACATTCATGGGGAAACAATGAACCTTAAATATATCATTTATTCTATAGGGTTGAGAGGTAAACTCGTAGAGGTTATATAGCACCTGGAAATCGGACGCATTCAGGATAAGTCCGGTTCCATGGATCAAGAGCCTCTCGAAAGAAAACATCTCAGTTTACCTAATATGAGCTTGTACATCAACTCCCTCTGCTTTACTTTGTTCCTTTCCTCTTTCTTTCTTCTTCCTTCATCTTTGACAAATGGCTGTTTTATCAAGATACTTGTAGTTTCCTTACAGATGTCTTTCTCTACCTGAACAAAATAAACTAACGAGCTGTTACTTTTATACAGATGTTGTTGTTAGTGTTGGGTTGAAGGTTCGCGACGGTCTGAGGGCTGTGTGAGCCCGGCAACCCTAAGCTGTTATGTATCTGAAGACCAATGTGAGATGGAACACACAACTAAACAAGAAATGCAAAGCTAGGCTAAATGCTCTCAAAGCTGTTGCTGCTACAATCCCAACTATGGTGCTAATGTGAGAATCGTGAGAATGATGTACATAGCCTATGTTAGGTCCTTAATTGATTATGCTGCCCCATGTTGAAATTTGCTAGAGAAAGTTCTCTCCGACCCTTGGAGTTAATTCAAAATGAAGCTCTCAGGATTATTCTTGGCTGTCCCAGATCTACAAAAGTTCTTAACATGAGGAAGGAGCTTGGTATTTTTAGTATCAGTGATAGGATTGTTAATTACACGTACTCGGGATTTGAATGTTGAAAACGAA